TTAGCGTTTGCTTTGATGTAGGTGATTAACAGGGGGCTGCTGGCAGGGCTTCCTTGGGAACTTGTGCAGTGGGCAGACAGATGAGTGCAGCCCTCCATAATGCCATAGCACTTAAACGCTTTAATATCAGCCTCCTCCACCACTGCCAGTCTTCAGTCACCCCCTTGAGCCCTTTCCAGTTCTGCCTGTGGCCGAAGCGGGGCTCACAGCAGTGGGATGGAGGTTGCAGCGCCTGCCCAGGCATGGAGCACTGGTGGGAGACCCCACGGGTGGGTGACCACCTCGATGGGGGTACGGCCCTGACCGGCAGGGCCAAGGGTAATGACTGCGAGGGAAAGGGCAGAGCCATAGCTGCAGCACCCTGCGGACATTTGACAAGGACCCTGGGGAAGGAGGGAAGCTGGGTTTGGACACCAGCCAGCAAAGCGTGACAGAGCCCAGCAAAGGGCCATGGCTTTCAGTGGCGCCTCCTCAGCAGCCAGCAACCACCACCTTGAAAACGGGAACTCGCTCGTCACCCCCCTGCAAAACCTGCTGTGAAAACAAAGAATCTGCAAATTAAAGTTTCCCTGCGAGGGGGTGGCAGTGCCCTATGCTGCACTGGAAGGACTGGAGCCCACCTGCCTTCGGAGCCAGCCCCTGATCCTATTGGGATATTACCGGATTATTGAACTGGGGATTGAGGGACACGCTTAAATAGATGGGATGGTGTCAGGGTCCAGCATTAAACTCCAAGAAGGGCCGCAGCTTTGCATACTTTCCCTGCTCTGAGGCAAGAACCGTATGCCACAAAATTCTTGAGGATAAAAATATTTTCATCTGTGCACCAAATTAAGCCAGGTTCATATACAAAAGCTGTCAGCACAGGCCATGAGCCTGCGCTTGCTGAGCACCAGCCTTTCAAACAGCCCAGGAGAACACCCTTGCCCTTGGGCACCTGTACTTCAGTTTGCAGATGCAGGTTCATGGGTGAGCCCAGCAGCACAGGGCTGCTCTCGGGGGAGCAGAGCAGAGCCCCTGCCCGGACACCTTCCTCCTCTGCCTGGAAATCACCCCAGCGGCTGCCAGCCCAGAGGCCCCGGCTGTTTCCTGAGCTCAGAAGGAGCAGGGACTCTGGAGTTCAACTCCACGAGCCAAGCTGGAGCAGGGATGGAAGGACAGAAAGGGAAACCTCAGCAGCTGCCAAGAGCCACGTGCCAGCCTGGTGCTCGCTGTCCTGCCAGCCACAGCTGAAGCCAAGGCTGGGGTGGGCAGCAGAGCCCAGCCACCACAGTGGTGGCATTTGCTCCCTGCTGGGCTCACATCGCTCACTGCTCACACCTTCCCTGTGTCGCTCACAGGCCAAGGAACATGCTGATTCTTGGAGGGGAGGCAGAGGAGAAGCCTCACCGTGGCCTCTCTGGGCTGCTGGCTGCTGGCTGGGGGAACAGTGTGCCTCGCGAGGCAGGGCTGACGCCCCGTGCCAGCGTCCTGGGGAGGACAGCTCGATCCCCCCCCCAGCTCTGACTGGTGCTGCACGCCAGCAACAGCTGCCTGAATGGCAGAAGAAACAGGAGCCGAGGGAGCTCTCCGAGCAGAGATGAGAGGCATTTCTGCTGGAGATGCTGCGGGGAAACAAATCCCCGTGCTGGTCGGAGTGCGAGGAGCGCGGGGAGCAGGCTGTAACGAGCAGACATGCAGCGGAGAGAGCTCTGTGCCGGGGGGTGAGGAGGAAGGGTGCCGGCATTAATTGGCTGGCAGAGGTTGACAGCTGGAAATGAAAAGCTGCTGTTCCCC